ATTTAGTTTCAATGTTCTGTGTATGTCTAAACTTATATTTATTATTTATTTACTTAATCGATTCATACCTTGCCATCTTCTCTTTTGAGGGATTATATGGTATTAGTATAACGTCTCTTTTACTCTGTGTGCGTGTTCTTTGCTGTGGGTGTGTTGTGGGTGACTCTGACAAATGCCCAGACTGAACTTTATAATGCTTAACCAGGTAGCATTGATTTAATGTACTTTCATGTACCTTCAATAAAACGGCATCCATCCACACCACAAAGAAGGGAAATGGCAAAGTTCATGTTGCACTCAAAGCAAATTCTAGAACAACAACAGGCGGAAGAAATGAGATCAATTTTTCCCCTCTCAAATCAATTTTAAAGGTGAATAGGATAAAATTAAAAAATGGTGTGTCTGAAATGTATCAGGCTTCAGAATCCCTCCTCCACCCCTAATCCCACCATATGATGCCCATGCAAAATTCATCCAACACAGAAGACAAGCATGACCCCTTTTCATTCAAAAAGCAAAACCCTTCATATTGTAAACATTCTTGCACACATATCCTGTATCTAGTTATCTAGTGTTTGACAGGCTTCATCCCTTCAGAACAGGATACCTAACTGGAAAATAATGATTTTATTATTAATGATTTTAATTATTAATGATTCTAATAATAAAATCCCTCTCACACCAGTTTTTACCATTGATTGATACCTTCAAAAACACAAACACACCTACCTTTGAATCCCCTGAACCTCTGTCTGTGAGCTATTCTGTCAGAAAATTCCAACTTATTCTAACTAAAGGTTAACTTGTAATCGCTGTTTGTTGATTTGTCCATTTGAGTCAATGAGGGGACATCCAAAGCTTCACTCTCTCACACCCCAAAAGGAAAACAGTTAAGCCAAGGTTCTGTTTTGGATTCTGTCAAACCAAACCGTAATGTGCACCTGAGGCTCTGAGCCAAAACATCTCCTATTCAAAGCTCTGAAGAGGGTATAGCAAAACAAAAGGAGCTGGTACGTCCATGGAAGTCCAGATTATAAATGAGAGATGAAGTCTCAAGATGAAGAAAAAAGAATAGAGTTCTTTAGTTTGTATTCTTTAAATGGGTAGTTAAAAAGCTCTGGTATAGCAACCCCTATTTTTTCCTGAACTCACCCCTAAATCCTATGTAATATTTACCATGAAATGTAAGCCACAGAGTTCCTGGAGACAGCAGGGAATCCTGAGTTTTCTGGAAGTACACCTGATAAATGTTGCCAGCTGGTAAAGCCCTGAACTTAAAGAAACTGCTATAACTGTGTAATGCAGATACCTGCATAAAAATAAAGGCACTCACCCATTTACTCAGTCTTTTGTCAGTCAGCACCCACCTGCTTGGCAGCTGGCATACAGACATTCATTATCTCTCTCTCATCAAATGTCGCCCACCTATTTGGAATTCTGGCTGGATGCTGTGACGGGACAGCAGGAGGAGGATGGAACTCTATCTCCTGGGTTGAATTCCGACCTGTTTGGGACACACACCCCCAGTGGGTTAACCACCCCAAAGAGGTGGCGAACTGGGGGAGAAGCCCATTTTGATCCAGGAAACTCCCCAATCAACCAGCAGGTGGAAACAAGCAGCTGAATAGCTCGCTTGCAAGTTGTCAGCAGCCAGCAATAGAGAAGCAATAAATCAGCTAATTAACATTGTCGTTACCACTGGGTGAGATATAGTTTACAACTATACTGCTTTATGACTATCCCTGGACAAGACAAACCCTATAAAAGAAATAAGTGTATCTTATCATCCCCACTTAAGAGTAGCGGTGAATCTGGAGAGAGGGAAGGAGACGCAAAGAGACACAAAGAAAATAAATTGGACACTAATTACACATTTAACTATACTTCAGTGAAGAATGTTTGGTATTACTTTGGTGTTAGAAACTTAAGAAATCTTTCTCTTAAAATCATTATTAGCTAAACAACTCTGGGAGTTAAACTTGCTATGTTATGGCTATCTACAGTGTTGGTGGAAAGCCCACAACAATGACCTTGAACATTCTATGGTGGTTCTAAACTTTGAATTTGTTTTGATTTCTGTTTTTTTCTGAAGACTGATTGAAGCATAGACAAATTAACCCTGGAAAGTTTAATCCTACCAAAGTGGAAAATTTAAACAGTACTTTGGGATATAGGCTGACAACTGAGCTCTGATCAAAGACAATTCATCTTGGAATATATATCTGGCTAACTTGGACATATGTGGTCCAATAAAAACATTTGGAATGGACCGCTTCTGGGGCTGGATTACAAAAGACTTCAGGTCACAAATACAAACATTGAGTGAACTGGACAGTGATATTTGGTGAGCAAATGTCCTTGAGCCTCTAAGTGCAGGAAATGTTTCACGTCTGAGACTAGGCTCAAATTTAACACTAAAGATAATCAAGCTATTAAAGTGGATTTATTGAAGCAGTTATTGATGGAATTGAACTGATTACTTTAAGCAATTGGAGAAGTTTTATTTGGAATACAATTATCTGATTTCTCAAAATCTACCCTTCAAGCAATTTTAGAAATAGTGAAATCCCACAACAAATAGGTGAAATTATTCAATGAGCAGTTAGGGAAGGACTATATTCAACAGGAGACAGGGAATAATGAATAAGAAAATGTCAGGGTGGTGGATGTTTCTGTGATGTTTTGTTGGTGCCTTTTTTCCTTAATGCCTCAGAAAGGGAGCTGAGTTTACTATTTTTTTTTTCCTTAATGCCTCAGCAAGGGAGCTGAGTTTACTGTTTGTTTTTGGAAGTTTTCGCCCTTTTTAAAGTCTCAACAAGGGAGGTCATTTTACTGTGTGTTTTTGGAAGTTTTCCCCCTTGTTAAAGTCTCAACAAGGGAGGTCGTTTTATTGTTTGTTGTTGGAGGTTCCCCCCTTCTTAAAACCTCAGTGCCTTCCATTTCTTCGGCCAGAACGGATTAATTGGTTTTCAGTGTATTCCTATGGGAAATGGTGCTTCGACCTACGAACGTTTCGACCTACGAACCCCCTTCCGGAACGAATTAATTTCGTAGGTCAAGGTTTCGACCTACGAACGCCCTTCTGGAACGAATTAAGTTCATAGGTGGAAGTTTGACTGTATTAGAAAAGGGAAGCAATCTGAAATAAGGGATCACTAATCAGGGTATAGGCATAACAAGGTGGCTTTTAAGGTAAACTGAAGCTAGATATAAGAAAAGGGTAAAACAAATAGTACTTAATTAACATACATATATTAGATATGATATTGCTATAGACATGACAGAAACTGTGGAGACTGAAATGGCTTAATAATTATATAAAGAAAATGTATATAAAATACTTTAGACCACATTTATTATGCATTAGAAATCTATTTAGTTATTATTGGTACAAAATACAAATTTGGCTGGTTAAATTACCTCAAATTATATAGATTTGAAACCAGAATTGCTTTTATTTGGTATTTTATTAGAGAATTTTGAGAACATTGATATTATGAGAGCTATATTATGAGAGTAGTCAACATTATACACTAAAATACACATGATTGGTTCAAATGCTTTAAAAATGTATAGATTTTGAAGAGACAACTAAGAAGACACCAAGACACAAAAATAAATAATTATAAGCAACCCATGTAACACAATGTTTAACAAGCACGAACCGAATATAGATATAGTGAAAACTAATAAAATGTTAATTTAAAACGTTGCCTACCTATTTCACTCACTCTGATGCTCAGTAGGCATGTATAGAATTGAACTATTGAGGTTTTTATGTATGAAATGCTCACACCATTTAAAAACCATTTAAAATTAAAATAGTCCAGACAGCTGTTAAAGTCAGGGTTAAGAAACAACTGTTGTCTTTTTAAAAAATGTAATAATTATGGAAGAATGAAATAACAAAGACACTGAAGATGTCTAGCTAATCTCTTCAAAGTCCACTCAGAAGAAAGAGATCTCACTTCCTTTAAACCAGTGTTTCCCAACCTTTTTCAAGTTGCAACCTCCTTTTATAATAGCCAGGTAACCTGTGCCCCATAACCAGGTGCATAAAAAGGCATTTTTAATGAGGTATTGTAAGTCATCCCTTCTCAGAATGTAGAGGCTACTTTCTCCTCCAAAGGACTTGTTTCTAATGCATACGCATATACACCAACTTTAATACCCTGCTCCAAAAGGTCAAGGAAGAAATTGGCTACAATACATATAAAGTGACCCATCACCACTCCCCCAGAAAATAGTTTGCGACCCCTTGGAGATCACAACCTTTAGACCAAGAATATGCCATGGAACAGAATCCATAACAAAAACTTCTGTCTTCTTATAACCACCAGTTTGACTTTAGTATGACCGGGCAGTCAAATGAGAACACCATCAGTGCCTCAGCATCTGGCAAGGGTTATGTGACATCAAACGTCAAACCTGAACACAGTTACAGATCCATTTGTGCAACTGTGGTTGCAATTTCTTGGCCTTAGCTATGCATGGACTAAAAGTGATATCAGGCCTGCTTTTCAACAAGAAGACATATTCAGATGCTAACAAAATAAGACAATTAAGGCGAGAATCTGATACAAAATGGTCAGGAAGAAAGCTCCACTGAACAAAGTGGGATTTACTGCTGAATAAACGCGCAACTGTTCAGCTACTCTGCAATGTTTTGTGGAGCTGGCGCTACTTCCACCTTCATAGCTCTGGAAACCTACTTTCTTCGGTTATGTAGCATTGTTTCTCTTCTAAAAATAGCCAGAATATTCATAATGTGCTGGGATTTTGTGACAGACAGATCACAGCATGATACTTCTGAGCTTTATTTTGCCCCTTAGGGAGGGGACACAAAGTTGTCAGAAAAGCCGAACCGTATCCAAAAATAGAGCTACGTCAGCAGCCACAACATTTCACCTTGTCTCATGTTTAGGAAAAATCAAGGAGCCATGATATTGAGGCTGAGTGCAGTGAAGCTGATAAAATTATTGGCTGTGTGAGACACTTACCATATTTATTGATGACACGGGGCCAATGCTGTTAACATAGATGTCAACGTCAATGACAGTTGGTTTCACTGTGAAAGAACAAAGAAAAGAAAAAGAAAACCAGTATTTAGTGTTGACCCCAGAGACAATATGAAGCAAATTTTTAGCTTTTTTTTCCCTAATTATCATTCCAGTCTTAAATATCTTTGGAAAGAAGAACACAGCGTAGATAATATTTTCCTCTCTATATATTTCCAAGAATCGTTTTCAAAGCCCCATTCCGTTTTCCAGCAATGGTCTTGGAATTCATTCATATTATGTATGCACTGGTACAAAAAAACAGCAACTCATTTCTCTCTATGTCATCTTCTGCAGCATCTTTTCGTCCACCTGCAGGAGGAGAGAATTTTGAACCTATTGCAGGGTTTGTAGGATCTGGTTAAACATCTCTAGCTACACAGCAGATGTCCAGGGATTCACAGAGCAGAATTAGCTTCAAGTTCCCCAGAGAATGCCACTCCTTTTCTCATCAATTGCCACTTACAGTCTCAATAAGTCACTCTGATACATGAATAACAGAAAGAATAAAAAGTTTCCTTACTTAAAATAGAACAGATCAAGCAGCTATGTAGTCAGTCAGCTGTCTGTATTCAGTCAGTCTGTAGTCATGCAGTCAGTATGAAGCTAGTTAAGTTCTGTTCATGTAACTAGTTATTATTTTTCTACAATATGCTGTTTTGATCTAGTCAGAACTGTGAGTAAAGGGAACTATTATTCTTTCTGTTATCATTGTCTCTGAGTGAGTTATCAAGACAGTAAGTGGCAGCTGAGGAGAACATAACCGATAAAGTGTGATCTACTTTGGAGAGTCTTGAAGGTAATTCTGGTCTTTAGGTCCCTGACCTTTTTCTGCTATCGAGTTAGAGATTGTTTAAACCAATAAATTTCCAAACTCTGCCAAGGGTATCTTGACACAACACTGACCTCCCTCCCAGCACAGAGAGGGAGGTCAGTGTTGTGAATATTGATGTCTGGCCACCAATCAGGGTTCAGGAAGTTATTTTGGGGAAAGTAATAATTGATCTGTCAGTTTAATCTTTACTGACCAGAATACAATTTAAAAATTAATCAAACATAATATTATAATCACAGATTGCAGCTGCAAATTGATTCAAGTTAAGAAGACAGTGTAGATATTTGCTGCTACTCACCAGGTTAACACAATTGGTATGTGTTATTTTTGCAGCAATTCTCAGCTGAGATTTGGACACAATTGGTATGTGTTATTTTTGCAGCAGCTTGCCAATTTACAGCAATTCTCAGCTGAGATTTGAATTGAAGCAAACAATAGAATTGTGGACCTTTTTTTACTTTGTAAAACTAATTCAGTGTTTTAAAAGTTATTCACTTCCATTCACGATTACAACAATGAAAGAATAATTTGTTACATTGTTCTATTCTCTCTTTTTTGTTATTTTTCATTACTTTCCCTCCCCCCCCCCAAAAAAAATTTCTGATTGCTAAGACAATAGCATAACATTTGAAAACTTCCACTCAGTGGCTCAAAAATGTGCATTAGGAGTAATGTTCAAGTAGCTAGAAAATATTACACATGAATAACAATAAAGTGACTCCATTCCCATGTTTTATGATATTATTGCAATGTAACTTTGCTAAGTCCATCTATGCATGTATGTGTTTCCCCAAAAATAAGACAGGGTCTTATATTAATTTTTGCTCCAAAAACACATTAGGGCTTATTCTTAGGGGATGCTTAATTTTTTTATGTACAATCTATGTCTGTTCAAAGGCTTATACAGTCACGTCATCTTCTGGTTGCTGCACAGTGGTGGAGGGGGGGGGTTCACTTAACTAGGGCTTATTTTTGGGGTAGGGCTTATATTACAAGCATCCTGAAAAATCATACTAGGGCTTATTTTTGGGGTAGGGCTTATATTACAAGCATCCTGAAAAATCATACTAGGGCTTATTTTCAAGTTAGGTCTTATTTTCAGGGACCCAAGGTATGTATGTATGTATGTATGCAGAAAGACAGAGAGAGGAGAGAGAGATAGAATTGCAATTACCTGACATGTGGGGTAAAAAGTGAAAGGAGGGAAACACTAAACGAGCAGAAGGGCTAGAAAGAGGCGGAGGGGGGAGAAAAACAGTACATGAGAGAAAATGGAAGGTACAGCTGTCTTATTGCTAGGTTGGCTGGGTTTTACTTCATTTCTAGCCATGCCCTCTGGCACCTGCTTAGCTGGCATAGATACCCAGTTGTCATTTTAAAAAGAGAACAAGACTTGTCTGCACTACTCAGTTATGTCATTTTCACACACACCCTTTAGTTGTCATAGCTCTGTCCTAAGTAACCAGGGATTTGTAACTTAGGAAACACCTGAGAAGAGAGGCATTGAAGATTAAGCCATTTCAATTTTGTAGTACTCGAAGATAGCAGTTGAGCTAATTGTTAAAGAGAGTAGGCAAGAGCTCTCCGGAAGAGAATGCTAAGTATTTCATCAAACTACAGGTTCAAAGGATTCCTTAGGAAGCTGTCATAGCAGCTAAAGTGGAATGAAACTGATCTAGCTGTGTAATGCAGATGCACTCAATGTCTGTAGGGTTTTTGTACCATGGGGTCAAACCTGCAGTCACTATTTTTCATGTTTTGTGAGAACAGAGCTTTTACTTCCTTTCAGTGTGGTTGTCCAATAAGAGTGGCAACTGTTGTGATCAACATGATATATTTGGACCTCAGATTTTTACAAAGGAAGGATGCCCCACTATTCTTGATACTGAATATGCATCTACATTATATGCAGCCATACTAAATGCCACTGATGCTGAAAGGTTAAAGTGATACCTTATAGCCATGAATTCTTCCTGTGTCCCCTTACCCAGGAGTAAGCCTCATTTGTGATATGAGTATACACAGCCAATAGATTTTAACATTCTTTTATAAAACCAAATTGCAGGATTCTTTAGTTCTTTTTATTGACTGCTTTTTATTTCTGGTCCTGCTGATGGTGCACAAAATGCAAAACTACTTGAGCATGAAGAGTTATGGGGTTTGTTCTTTGGAGGTTTTTGAAATAAAATATATTTACATGTATTCCATAGAATAATTGTGTTGGAAGGGGCCTTCAAGGCCATTGAGTCCACCCCCCTGCTCAAACCAGAAATCTAAATCAAAGCAAATCTGACAGATGGGTGCCCAATTTTCTCTTGAATGCCTCTAACTCCCAATGTAATTAGTTCTGTTATCATACTGATCTACGAGTTAAGAAGTTTTTTCCTGATATTAAGCTGAAACTTGGCTTTGTGTAACTTGAGCTCATTATTACATGCCCTGCACTCTGCAGTGATCAAGAGCAGAGCCTTGCCCTCCTCTATATGACCATCTTTCAAGTATTTGAAGTATTTATCCAACAAACCAACTTGAGTACTTTTCACCTCTACCTAGAGCAGGTATTTTCTAAAGTTAATAGGTTCTATGTATTCTCAAAGGTTTTTAATAGGTTCTAATTACCCATTCAAGACAACCTAATATAAATACTTTGTATTACAACAGGGATAGCTCATAACTATATATTGCCATGGGGAACATTCATCTCGCCACTGTCAAAACTGCAGCTAAACTGAGAGAGAAGTTTATGGGGAATCACAGATGATGTCAATTGTCCTTGTTAATCAGAACATGCCAGGCCTTGAAACTGGAGCAGCCCTCTGCAACCCACTGTGCCTAACTTTGAATGATAGACTCACCCTGAATTTGGAAAATCCCTTTTGCAGGACTTTGTATTCCCTGACAAGCTGTTAGTAAAAGAAAGGGGAGACCTGGTGATCCATCCCAGGNACCCCACCCCGCCTATCTGGTCATTGCGACTACTTTTTCCTTTCAGTCTTTAATGGAAACGATACTTATGACAATGTGCTTTTTCTTCCCATCCTGCAAGTCCCTTGCCTTGTTTTCAACATAAGATTTGTGAGGCAGTTCACATTGCCCCTATCAAAGAAGAATGGCTTTTAAGATTCAGAGAAATATTAACTTGGCTGCCCTGACCCCGCCTATCTGGTCATTGCGACTACTTTTTCCTTTCAGTCTTTAATGGAAACGATACTTATGACAATGTGCTTTTTCTTCCCATCCTGCAAGTCCCTTGCCTTGTTTTCAACATAAGATTTGTGAGGCAGTTCACATTGCCCCTATCAAAGAAGAATGGCTTTTAAGATTCAGAGAAATATTAACTTGGCTGCCCTGGACTTTTTTGGTCCATGTAATACATTCTAAAATTACTCCCATTACAGATGTCTAGAGTTTCCTCAATTATTTCATTTTATAGCTTCCATTCTTAAGCACACCACCACCAGCAAGAGTGCCATTTTTGTCTTCAGTGGCGTTACAATCAGAGTTACATTAATCAGTGGTATTTGTTCAGCCAAGTTCAGATTCCTGTTTTGATTGCTGAAGCCAGGGCACCAATTGATCCAAGGCTGTTCTTTAGGTTCAATTTGAATTTCTGTTTCTAATTAATGCTCCCAAATTGTCTGGAAGCAACTGTTCTTTAGTGCTGCAAAACTACTTGAGCATGAAATTCTGGGTACTGGTTTTTTAAAAAACTTTTTTTGTTGTTACAATCTGACAAAAATATCCAGTTTTAGATATGAAAAAAATCTTCAGTCAGTTGTCTTAAAAATAAATTGTAAAACTTACTTTCTCTGCGCATAACAGATAAAGCCATCTGCCACTGCATGGACATTTTGCTGAGGAGTTTGTTTTTGCTGGGATTTCTTTTGTTTCCCTCACACACACCGCATGGCCTAGGAGGTGAGGCTTTCCCTCCTTAAATGAGGGTGTCCTAGGACCTGGGCCCTTTTCCCTAGGAGACTGAGCTGAGGCTGAAGCCCAGGTTTGCCTGCATGGACATTTTGCTGAGGAGTTTGTTTTTGCTGGATTTCTTTTGTTTTCCACACACACACCGCATGGCCTAGGAGGTGGGGCTTTCCCTCCTTAAATGAGGGTGTGCCAGGACCACATACCTAACGGCACATGAAATCCTCAAACTCTCTGACTCTATCTCTGACC